CTCACTTGAAAGCCACAGTGCGGAATGTTTTACTGTATTGGTGCAAAACTCCACCTTGGCTGCGCACTTTGCTCCAGTGGTAGCAACAGGGCCAGAACTTCACAGAGTCAGGAAAGATCTATAAAACTGCATATTTAAATACACACCCACATGTGCTACGGCCTCACAGTTACAGTGCCCGGAGCTATGACTAAAAGAGTAAAAGGCAGTTTATTTCTAACCGTCGTTTTCAGTGATTTATAATTTCCCCCCAATATTAGCCTTCAGAAAAATAATCTTATTTTATGTATCTATTGCAATTTACAACACTTGAGAGGGTACCCTTCTGTTAAACTGGGTGCCTTTGACATTATTTGAAATAATCCAGTAAAAACAGAACCAGGAGCAACCCCCTAAGAAAAGTACAACCTTTACACAACCCAAACTATTCATCCACTCAGGGACAAACAGATGGGCATTGCAGTATTTCTGAAAGTTCAATGATTCCTGACTATTTAGGGGCAAGGATAGAAGCTGATTTCTTAGCTGAAAACTCCTTGTGGAGAATGTTCTATCATTCAGCTCCCGGAGTTACAAGCATCATAATAAATAAATAAATAAATAAAATAAAGGTATTTCCACAAATAGGAACAATTCTGGTGCATTTCTGCTCTGCTAACTATTGACCAAATTCTCTTCCTCTTAGTCTGTGAATGGTCCCACTGGTGCTAATGTAATCCACACACTTTCTTGATGTGGTTTCTGTCCCATCTAGTGGCACCAAGACCGCTATAGAGAGAGATTAATGAGTGTGCCCTACAGCCTTAGCTAACAGGGAGTTGGCTTTTAGCTCATGCGGTAGAGGCTCATGCACTAAGCTCCAGAGGTCCCCGGTTTAATACTGTCCTCCGACAACCGGGGTCTGTTAGTGTTACATTAAGACTTGGAGATTCTCCTTCAGATCTAGTGATAGTAGCCTGTGCTTTTGGAAAAGGAGGATCTAAATTCTATTACTGCTTATCTCATCATCATATATCAAGAGTAAAAATAATAGTGAAGCCAAGACTTGTGTAAATAAAGTGGGCAGGACTTGACAGTGTGTGTCTGTTCTAAAATGTATCCTTTCTCCAGCTCTTTATTAGTTAAGTAATATTTTATTGTTCTTTTCCCCACCTCTGAACTATTAGAACTGTTAGATAGACCTTCTAAAATTATCTTAAGCTTGGAAGCACTAAAAGACATCACTATTCAAAAGGTGAGACTAGAATTTAATGAGGGTATTAGCCCAATAGATCACAGCTTGCATCAGGAAGCATATGTTCATTACTAAGCTGTGATTGCTTCAGTGAGTAAAAATGCTTTTTCAAATCATATCAAACACTCTGCTTTTCCCAGAGTCAGTCTTGTGCCACAGCAATACCAACCTTTTGCAAATAAAATGTGGTCATACAGTATTTGTTTTACAGGATCAAGAACTGGAGCCTGTTGTACTAGGCTCCCTACAAATACAGGAAGACAAAGGGACAGATTTGTATGTGTATTGAGGCACCTGGAGATGCAGATAGGCTCCCAAGTCCTCTTAGAATCATGCACCATTGTCATAAAAGGGCATAGAAGTGGAAGATGGACTTTGACATAGTTGAGGTCCAGGCCCTTTAGGGCTTCCTAGATCACAAAGGACACCTGAATTTCACCCAGATTAAAGAGACGATGAGGATGACACACAGATGCAACAGGATTTCTTTTGTCTAGCCTATTTCAAAGGCAAGCAGATCCACACTGCACCAACTGTGAGTGGTCTTTTTGAGAGGGTGGCACCATCCATGGTGCCAAAGTGCCAGTGACCTCCATGCACAGATAGAGGGCAGGATATTATTTCATATAGTATCTTTAGCTTTGTCACTCTTTTCAGGTACATCTAACAGAGTTAATTTACAAATCCTTGTTGTGGAAATCTCTAAGTCTAAAGGCAAGGGAAGTAACAAAAGAGTTACTTTTGTTCTATCCTCTTGGTTCTTAAAAAGGATTGGGCATGATTTATGTTTGGTTTTTTTTAAAGATTTGTTTGTCAATAACAATTTATTTTTAATCTCAGGTTTCCAAAGGTGTGATCAGTCTCTTGTCTTCTGTTTTGTTGCCTAGTAAGGGAGACAGAATACTAAAACTGTGAGGAAATAACATGGGAATGGGAGGTGTGCATTCTAGCACAGGCAGCTTCACAGCACATCACAGGATGACTCTGAGAGGTGTGAAATGATTTTCATGCTACATTTCAAGCTCAGCTCCAGTTCACTAGCCTTCTGCATCAGTTAACAGATAAATGTCATATGCTTCCACTGCAAAAATAGCAGTCTATTTTTTTCAACATAACCCTTATTCATTTAGTCTTTCTTCGCTTGCTTCAGTTAATGTCATATGGTTGCATGTATCCTAGGCCTAGATTCAGCAAAAGAACTTAAGCGTGTGTGTAATTTTAAGCATGAGTCGTCCCACTGAAGTCCATGTGATTGTGCATGTGCTATGCTGTGCTGGAGCCCAAATTGTTGCAGTGAGTGTTTGCTTTTTCATGGTCGTCCAGTTTAATCCGCTATTACAGTGATGAAGCAGGCATTAAGAGGGTGGACCTCATAAAATCTTGGCACTAGAGACGTGCTAGAACCAAACCCCCCAGATCCAAATGTCTGCACTTGGGGGAAGAAGTTCAGATCCAGACCTAAGTATTGAAACTCAGGCCCTGTTTCTGGTTAGCACATGATGGTACTTTATAAAGGAATCTGAATATTTAATGTTATGTAATTGCTTCATAATAGAATAAGTGCTCTTGCCTGAAGTCTGTGCAGCATCTCATCCGGTATGCCTATTTCCTGAATCCAGTGCTCTTTGGCTTATATATAAATATAATTGGCTTATTCCATCAACTGTGTTCCACACTTTGACAATTTTCATGAATAAAGAGATTTTGGGAGGGTGTGATTTCTGCTCCTAGTCTTTCCTATATTATTAAACTTTGGCCCGTGCTGCACATTATGCAGATACCTCAAAAGAAGCATGCAAGATCTTTTACGTTGTATTAAGCTCCATTAGGAGGGAAATCTGAATGGGATATGGCTCAGAATAGTACTTTGGCTGTTGAAAGCCACCCTCCCACAGCCACCTCTTAGGTAGGGTTGAAAAAGCAATATCATGGATGAAAGAGAAATATTCATGCAAATATTCCTGTGAGCAAAATAATTCAAGAAGTCTAAACACAAATATTCTCATGTAACATGTTTGCAGGTAGTGACTGCTTCAAGGATTCTGACAGTTGTAGTCAAAGAAATAAATTACATAGTACTTGTGCTAATCGTTGTGTATTATGCACTGTGAGTAAGACAGGCCAATGACATTTTAGATGGTTACCCACTGCTCTCAAAAAATTGAACACCACAGCAGGTAAAAGGTAAACAAAGATCTTAACAGTGGGGGTATCCTTCTGCAAAGAACCAAATCTAAAATGAGTCTCTGCCATCAGCATTGCCTGTTCCCACACATCAGGAATTAATATAGACCAGTCTTTGCTACCATACTAGTCCACAAACTGGGTTACTCTTGCTTCCAGGACTTTGTCCACGCTGAAATATTTCCTAAAATCTCTCCATTGCTTTAGCACTGCTGCAGCTCTACAGATGCTAACAAAGGTGGAAATGCTGGTGTTGAGAAGCCACTAGCAGTTTGACCATTGTGTTATGAGTGGTTCTCAACCTGCGGCCCGCAGGCTGCTTGCGGGGGCCCAATCAGCACAGAGCTGTGGCCCATGTGACATCCTCAGGGCCAGAGAGATGGTATTGGATGTGGCCCACATAAAACATTGTGGCCCACAATGGTAAATAGAACAGTTGAGAACCACTGTGTTATCTAAACTTGCAGTGCTAGAAGAAACAGCAGTAAAAATGCCAACAGCCAGTCTTTACTTTCACTCCTACCCCTGGAGGACCTGTACTAATGCTGGGGCAACAGGATTTTCAAAAACACTTCCATGTAGATGTAACCACTCATGACAGTCCTTTTACTTTAGGGAAACTTTCCCTCCACTTTCCCTCCCCCACCCCTGCCACTTGCTTCTGGGGTAAAATGACCAGAAAAGTCACTTTTTATTCAAGGGCCCTAGCAGGTACATTTAGATCCTGCTCATAGTTATTTTTTATCTGCGACAATGTGTTCTCCCTGGCATACCAGCCTAAAAACCCAAGCTTTCCTCCAGCTGTGGGCCGAGAGTAACCCTTCCTTGTATTTTTTGCTACTCATTAGTTTGTCAAAGGGTCCTCTCTCCAGACTTGGTATCTTATCTTGGGCAGTTATTACAGGATTGGCCTTTCTACTTTCCTGATTCCAGGGAAGTCTGTTAATCCCTTCCTGCACTGGCTAGGTATGAATATGCCATAAGTATTTATTTCTACAACCATTTTCTTATTATGTGGAGCTGTTCTGTGTGGTCAGAATGGGCATCAAGGGAGAAAGGCTCAATGCCCATTGAAGGCTACTTGAAAGGTAAGGGGGGCAAAGAGCTCATTTGTGTGCATTTCTTGACCAGCTCTGTGGGTCTTGACTGCATAGACAAGTGAAGCCCCTCCATCACCCTCCCCATACTTGGTCCAATGAAGAGCCAGCTTACCTATAGAGGCCACAGTGTTGCCACAATATAGTTTTTTGTAAGTGTTTCCTAAGCAAAGATCTGAAAGACTAATGATCTATCCATTGGTCTCCTTAGGCATTCTGAACTCTCAGTTGGGAAGACCAGTACTCAGTCTTAGTGTTAGTGTATTAGTGTTTAAAGATGCACTTGAGAAGGGAAACCTTCTTTTGAAGTGCACTGCTGGTATTCACCAGAGAGCAGTGTTGCCCTCCATGTACAGCCCTCCATGGAATGACAAAGCTCTTCCCTCAGACAAAGAAGAAAGAGAGGTGAAGCTGGTGCATTAATTCAAGGGAACAAAGAGGAAAACAATGTGCGCACTGCATTCTATCCAGATGAACTGAAAATATAAAGGTCAAGGCAAGATTTATTCCTTTTCTCTGGGATGAAAGTCCACTATCCATGCTGGCCTGACAAGTTAATTGTTCAGGCACATTCAACTGAAGCATCTCTCAATTAAAGCACAAACTGTGTATGCATACAGTAAAACCAGCAAATAAATGCAGAATCCTGTGGGAATGCTAATCTTGAGCAGTGAAGATATAACAGGTTGTCAATTAAATAAGCTTTGAAGATCTGTTTTAAGAATATTCAGGGAGTTAATTTCCATCTTGATAGCCACTTGATAGTCACTGATTTGCTGTGTGGCCACGGAAAAGTCACTTGGGTCGCATTTTTTACAGCAGCCGTTGATTTTGGGTGTCTTTATTTCTGAAAGTCCAAAGTTGATTTTCAAAAGTGCTCAGCATCCACAACTCCAGCTGAACTCAGTGGAAGCTACTTGTGCTCAGCATCTAAAAAACAAAAGAAAATATCCCTCCTTCCCATTCCCTACAAAAAACCTGACCCAGGTTGGACGCGTATTTGGTAGCTATTATTGAAAGCGTGGGCCTTGACTTCTTTTTGTTATAATGCCCACTATCTGTATTGTGTTCAAGAAATTAATATGAGAGAACCTGAAGCTTTCTGTAATCTTCATTTTCTTCTCGTTCTCATTTTGGGTTATTGTCCGATACTTGGGGATTGGATAGAGACACATGCTGAGTGCCTACTACAGTCTTTGTAATAGCCAAACTGCAGTTTGACTATGAAGAGCTCTGTGTGGCTTGAAAGGTTGTCTCTCTCACCAGCAGAAGTTGGTCCAGTACAAGATATGACCTCATCCACCTTGTCTGTGTAAAAATGGCATTCTGGAGTTTTAAGTTTGACTTTCTCTGAGTGAGAGATCAAATACACTCACTTTATAAGTTAAAAGAGAAAAAGAGTTTTCATAGTGGCATTATATCCTTTCAGTCTTGATACTGCTCCCATAAAGAAATAACTAGTCTTCCACAAATTCTTTCAACTGAAAATACAATTAATTGAAATAAAATTAATACATTTGATACAATGTAATAACATTTATTGAAAGCTAAGCTCATTCCCTGCCTGAATTGTTTCAGAGTAGCAGCCGTGTTAGTCTGTATTCGCAAAAAGAAAAGGAGGACTTGTGGCACCTTAGAGACTAACCAATTTATTTGAGCATAAGCTTTCGTGAGCTACAGCTCACTTCATCGGATGCATTCAGTGGAGCTGTAGCTCACGAAAGCTTATACTCAGATAAATTGGTTAGTCTCTAAGGTGCCACAAGTACTCCTTTTCTTTTTGCCTGAATTGTGTTACTGATGCTATTAATAGGCACCTTGCTTGAAGATTCTGCAGTTAGACTTAGTTAATGATGATGCATGAGCCAGAACTGAATCCAACCCTCTTCCTCTTGGTTGTATTGGCTCTATGGGGAGTCAAAAGCTGTAAAAATGTACCTTAGTCACTAAAGTCAGCAGATATGACTCAATCCACAAAGGGAGCAGATCTCTATGGAGCGAGGAAGTGTTATTTCTACAGTCATTTTTCTGTTCATAACTAGAGTTAAGGATTGGGGGGGGGGGGGGAATCCAACATTAGAGAAATGGAGCATATTTATACGTATGTGCCAAGCCAATGGGAGGCAAACGATTTATTGTAAATAGTGTGCAGCAACATCCATCTCCCCTAATGGAAATGTCATGTGTGCATCTGTTTTAAACATCCAATTTAATAGAAAGAACTTAATGCGAATGCAGGAACAAAATAAAAGTGGGATCACACACACAGTGTTTCCATAGCAGTTGGTGCTAAATCCCAGTCTGTTTCTATAAACTGCTCCTTTACATGCCCAGAGCAAGAGCAGACTAGACTTTCCAGTGCACGCTCCCCCTGCCCAGGATTGGTGCAGGCAGGTCCACCCTGGCTCTGAGCAGCCCCTAGCAGGCAGCGAGCTCTCTCCCTTGGGAAGCACCAGCCTCGCTCCATTGCAACGGGCCTCTGCCGTGCGCTCGCTCGCGCCTGCCACTCAGGGCCGGGGCCGACTGCTAACGCAGGTGCAAGGTGCGCCAGGCTGCTGCCACATACCTGGAGCGCCCGGCGCGGCGAGCCCGGCCCGAGGGATGCTCGGCGGGAGCGCGCGGCCACTGGTGCACGTTCTCGGAGCGCGGAGTCTCCTCCCTCCCGGGCGGGGGCCCGCCCCGGCAGCAGCAGCAGCAGCATTGCACAGACCCGCCGGGACGGCCAGCAGCCACTTGCAGGGAAGCAGTTAGTAGAAGGAGGCGGCTGGCTGGAAAACGTTTCCTCCTCCGACCAGGCTTTGAGTCTGTTTGTCCAGCAGCAGATCCGTCCTCAAAGCAATGGGGAAGGTTGCGCTGAGCGGGGCGCAGGCGGGCTACCCTGAGGCAGAGAGAGCAGCCCCAGCTTGCAAGCAGTGCGCCTCCCGGGCTGCCTCCTCCTGCTCCCAGCTTTGAACCTTTTGTTTTCTCCAGTCGGGGGCGGCGAGCTGCTGGCTGCTGCTATGTCAGGCAAGTTCCAGGAGGCGTCGGATCAGGCCAGGCTTTTGCTCTGCCGGGATCTGCAAGGCGCGGTGGTTGTTCCGAGGTGAGACTTTGTTCTCTTCCTAAACACCCTTCTGCCCGCTGTTCAAAGCAAGTGGATTGCTCCAGTTGTGGGTGTGGGGGGAGAGGGGGGGGCTCTGCGTGTACGCCAGAGGGAGCGGATCATCTGAATGGGAGAGAGGGGAGAGGTGAACTCCAGAATTGTGCTGGGGTTTTTCTTTTTCTGGAGAGTCCTGCGCAATTGTCCCAGGTGCATTTGTTTTGTTTAACTTACAGTGCGAAGCCCATCCGCTAGACTAATTCTCTCGTTTCTGACTGGGGCTGAGCTAGAAACGCACCGTTTCTCCGTGGCACCTGGTGCCCTTTCACTCGGGCTGTTGTCTCTAAGCAGCTAGGCCATTTTAGACATGTGCACCCCGAAGAGTACTTGCATTCCTGGGCCCCAGGGCAACTGGCTGTCGAGCCTAATTCGAGTTGCAAATAATCTCTAGCCAGCCGTCCAGGTGGGAAAAATCCGCTTCATCTTCAGGCTTTATTCCAGGAGCCATTTATCAAGCCATTAATTAATAGGCAGAGTGGTTACTAGGGTTTTATAACCCTAGTTATAACCCAGTTGCACTGCTGCAGAGTTCAGCCAAAGAAACTGACTCTTCTTTCCGAATCTAAAGGTGCTAAAAAGTAGAGGTTTTGTCAGCCATGAGGTAGGCGCTTTAGGTTTCTCACACAATTGTTTCCCAAGGCAAACCTTCACACGAGGCGTTTCCATTTCCTCTTTTTTAAAAGTGTTTCCTTTAAAATTAGTTTTCCTAATTCTGGCATTATTTTATATCTGTTCAAACTTGGCCATAAAGTATGTGCCTTTTACAGTGGTCTTTGGCCTCTTCGCAAAGGTGTTGAAAACACACAGTCCATGTTTTTTTCTTTTATTGCCTCAGTTGTGGGCTTGTTCTCTTGAGTGGTTGCTAAATAAAAGCTGTAGTTCAGTATGTGATCCAAACATGAAAGCTCCCTATTATCCTCGAGGAGTTACATTCATAGTAGATATTTAAAGGGTTGAATGTCATCTCTTTATCTTCCCTTACCTTTTTAAGAGTGATTCTTTACAGTTTGATTTTATAGCCTATACAGTATCTATATTTCTCTATTTTTCATTCCAATTCTCTCTTTTATGTATTGTCTTGTTATCACTTTGCCTGCAGAAATGCAAATTAAATTGGGTGGCTGGGGACTCAGATTTCTACTTTTAAAATATATTAAATAGATTTCAGGTCCAAAATACTTTCTACCAGAGGATTCATGTTATTTATTGCCTAAGAAAGGAAATTGACTTGTGAATTCTTGGACTGTGAGAACTACAACAGTATCTATCTAGTTATTTTAGGATTTTCTGTCCTTACCAGCAGTGTTTTGCATCTAAGGTCTTGATCGTGAAAAGTTTTTTACTAGACAAAAATACTAACATACACCCATTGATATATTTTTGATTGAAGAGTGACTCTTAGCCAAAAAAGTGCCCCATGTGAAAACATGAGAAAAACTGGTTTTCCCATCAGGTTAGAACAATTTTATTTGTGGGATTTGTGTTTACAATGCAACTTCGTGCATAGCATCTTTCATTAATGACTGTACAAAGACACATAATGCAAGACACACTATGAAATGTTTCAGTAAGTAGAATTGTAAAGACATTTTTGGCAAATCAGTTAAGGTATAATTGTTTCCCCATGAAAATGGGGTGAAACAAAGGAATATATATGCATAAAGATATAAGCAACATCTACATTTGCAAAATGGGGCAGAAGATGTGACAAGCAAGTTGTGTGTGTGGCTGAGGGGACTGTCAAAAATTGTTCATTTTTATTGAAGAATGAATGTTTAAATACTGGGAAATATATTTTGTACAATGCATTCTCTGCTATTGTGAGGAACATATGGTACATAGCTGATCTTATAGCAGAGAGAATAAGAATCCGATATGAGAGACAGTTTCTCACAGATTACATAGACCATTTCTGAATATCTGTTAAAAGCTGTTTTTGAAAAAAGCAGTTAGTTGAATAGGAAAAACCAAGTTCCCTCTAATTTTTGACAGGCCGTGTGTGCAAAAAATTTCTTATGTGCAAATTGTTGTGCTTCTGTGCAAATTTTTGTGCGTGTGGTGTTTCGCCGGGTGTGCAGGGTTTAGGATCTGTGTGCATGCGCACACGTGCACAGCTTAGAGGGAACAGTGATTGCCAGCTCTTCAGTGTGCTTTGCTTCAATGTTTGCAGTGTTCTACTCTCTACTGTCTGATGTCAGGTTTAACAGTGATGTTGTCATGTTCCCAGGGTCATATTAGACTAAAAAATTTAATTGTAATGAACCTGTCTACAGAAGCAGATTTGACGCTGACCAGTATTGAGGTTTATTTGTTTTATTCACTGTGATCATCTTTGAATAATTTTTGCTTGTTTCCATACCTGAAATTGAATTTTTGCTCTCATACTATCCCAGATCAGAAACCCAGATGCTTTTCTTATGCACGTTTACTTGCATAAGTTATTAGACAGTGTCCTTATTATTACAGTGTGTGTCAAATGGATAGCTGCCTTTATAAATTGAGAAAATAATATGAATCAGGACAAAACTGACAGGAGCATACTCATTTCCCATTATCTGCTCATCTATTAAGAGATGTTGACACTTTTCAAAAGGTAATGGCTGATCACGTTGTTTTCACATTTCATTCCTGTGCCACTCTGAAAATCTCCCTTTAAAAATAAGAGTAGGTGATGTATGGAGGCATAGCATACTAAGGGCTTGTACACACTACCACTTATGTCAGTATAACTTGTGTAGCTTGGGGTGTGAATAAGCCACCCCTCCCCCACCGAGTGACATAAATTACACCAACCTAAGCACTATGTCAGCTTCGCCCACTGACACAGCTATCACCTCTATTGGAGGTGGTTTTATTATGCTGATGGGAGAGCCCTTCACCAGACATGCTACAGTGGTGCAGCTGCATTCATGCTATTGTAGACTAGCCCTAAGTGACGAAACAGTAGCAAAGGCTTGTAGTTTTGAAGTTGGAAACAGGTATTGCTGTTGTGTAACCATTTGCGTGAAGATAACTTTACTTACTGTAGTAGAAAGAAATCTGGAGGAGTCTCTTACATCCAGTGTAAGACATTGGTCCTGCTTTGAAGTGCTGTAGATATGATGGGGCATTAAAACATATATAGGGATTATCACATGCTTCTTAGTGCCTTATTTCACTGGTAGATGTTTTGCTTATTCATTCCAATCTATATTACATTCCACTGTCTTGAATAAACAAAAGATCTTGAGATCAATTAAATATCTTAATTGGGTAGAATGTCTGCCAACATATTTTGACTTTGCTCATTTCAGGCCACATTCTGGTACCCTTATCCATGCTGAATAACACCTTGCTCAGTGAGTAGTCTCATTGAGCTCAATGGGCTCAATTATAAGTGGTGTAAGTCACTTGCATAGGGGGCATAAGGAAGCCCAAGATTCTCCCTCATTCCCCTGTGTTGGCTACCCACAAGATCAACTTATACAGGAGAGTTGGGGAGAGCAGATGTATCTGTGATGCTACTCTTCTCTTTTGCATAGGGGGCCAGGCAGGGAGTGGGTAAAGGCTTGACTCCATTCCCCCACACTCTCACCTTATGCACTGGCCAGTGTAGCAGAGGGGGGAAGTAAGCTGTTTCAGGAAAGGGCTGGCAAAACTTACTTTTCCTCCTCCCACTCCAAATTTGCTTCTGGGGCAGACCCACTGGGCTAGTAAGGCGTTATTCAATGTGAATAAGGGTATGAGAAGCCAACCCTGAGCGTGCTAATATTCTTACACCAACTAGCATGACACAATGCTTGGGCTAAATGGCTCAAAGCTGGATTTAAAGTTGTTAGCATGGCTGAAGTCCAAGAAGATTTCTTCATGCACTGGTCCTCTTCCATCAGAATTATGAACAAATCTTGGGCATGTGGAATCCGTCTGGAATTTTGTAAATATGCATCTTGCTGCTTGGTTCAAATCTATGGTGTTTTTTGAATTCTTGGTCTCACTGTGTGTGTACCGTATGTTATGCTATGGGGTTTTTGGGGGGGGGGGGAAGAATTGTGAGGGAAGATATCTTGATGTGTCTAGATAATAGTCCTATCTCTTACATAGTGCTTTTCATCAGAAGACCTCAAAGTACTTTACAAAGGAAGTCAGTATCATTATCCTCATTTTACAGATGGGGATACAGAGAAGTAAAAAGTGACTTGCCCATGGTTAACTAGCCAGCCAGTGACATAGCCAGGACTAGAACCCAATGGGTACACTGCCCCTCAGGAAAGCAATGCATTTTAAAAAGCATGTGTAGTCTGTGTGCTAAGGCCTATAACTACCATCCAAATTAGTAGTACAACTAAGAATTTAGATTTGCTACATGATTTTCTCATGTATTGATGAACCTGAATAAAGAAGAACATGGATGAATTACAGTGATATTTTAAATGTAGGAAATAATTCAACGAGGAAATCCGGTGACATGATAAAACACAGCACACATGTTTTACACATTACCTGTCAAGACCCCAAGAGCAAACTAGTTCCATAGAACGTTTTATAACATGAGGGAGGAATACTGTTAAACACTTTGTGAGTAAAAAGGGGAAGAGCAGGAACATGAAGCTTTTAATCACTTAGGTTGCAGTTCAGGAAAGTACTTAAGCACATGCTTAACTTTAACTACACACTGGAACATAGCAAGTGCTTAAGCGCTTTCTGAGCTGAAGCCCCAGTTTAGTCATTCCATGTAAATTTACTTGAAAGATTCCTCATAGGATACAAGCGTCTCAGTGTTCACATGTTTCAACACCTTTCTTTTCTAAAGCTTAGCTTACTGTCTAAGGCCCTGATTCAGTAAGGTATTTCAGTACATGCCTAATTTGAAGTATGGGAGTATTCCAATTGACTTCAGTGGCACTTTTGAAGTACCTTGCTGAATTGAGTATATTTTGCCGCCATCTATATATAGATAGCACACA